TCAAAATATAAGTATGGGTTTCATTTTCTATAAAATGCATTTATGTTAAAGGTTATATATGCAAAAAATGACCAAAACATTTAGGGAATTATTGTATCAAAACATTTAGTACCAACCAAAACAAAACCGTTTTATCTGGGCATTGATATTAATTTGATCTTTATTTCTGTATTGTTTTGTTGAAAAAGAAAGTAGACGTTGTTATGAGTTATTTAGTCAAAATATAAGTATGGGTTTCATTTTCTATAAAATGCATTTGTGCTAAAGGTTATATATGCAAAAAAAATGACCAACAAAATTAGGGAATTATTGTATCAAAACATTTATCACCGACCAAGACAAAACTGTTCTGTCTGAGCATTGATATTTTAGTTTGATCTTTATTTCTTTTTTTTTGTTGAAAAAAAAATATACGTAGTTATGAGTCATTTAGTCAAAATCTAACTATGGGTTTCATTTTCTAAAAATGCATTTATGCTAATGTTTTATATATGCAAAAATATAACCAAATATTTTAGGCAATTATTGTATCAAAACATTTAGCACCGACCAAAACAAAACCGTTTTGTCTGGGCATTGATATCCTTATTTCTGTTTTTTTCTTTTTGAAAAAGAAAGTATATGTAGTTATGAGTTGTTTAGTCAAAATTTAAGTATGGGTTTCATTTTCTATAAAATGCATTCATGCTCAAGGTTATATATGCAAAAAATAACCAAAAACATTTAGCACCGACCAAAAAAAAACGTTTTGTCTGGACATTGATATTAATTTGATCTTTATTTCTGTATTTTTTTTGTTTAAAAAGAAAGCATACGTAGTTATGAGTTATTTAGTCAAAATCTAAGTATGGGTTTCATTTTCTATAAAATGCATTTATGCTAAAGGTTATATATGCAAAAAATGACCAAAAAAATTAGGAAATTATTGTATCAAAACATTTAGCACCGATCAAGACAAAACCGTTCTGTCTGAGCATTGATATTTTAGTTTGATCTTTATTTCTATTTTTTTGTTGAAAAAGAAAATATACGTAGTTATGAGTTATTTAGTCAAAATCTAACTATGGGTCTCATTTTCTAAAACTGCATTTATGCTAATTTTTTATATATGCAAAAAAATAACCAAAACATTTATTGTATCAAAACGTTTAGCCCCGACCAAAACAAAACCGTTTTGTCTGGGAATTGATATTAATTTGATCTTTATTTCTGTTTTTTTTTGTTGAAAAAGGAAGTATATGTAGTTATGAGTTATTTAGTCAAAAATTAAGTATGAGTTTCATTTTCTATAAAATTCATTTATGCTAAAGGTTATATAAGCAAAAAATGACCAAAACGTTTAGGGAATTATTGTATCAAACATTTAGCACCGACCAAGAAAAAATGGTTCGACCAAGACAAAACATTTAGTACCGACCAAAAAAAAAGGTTCGACCAAGACAAAACATTTAGTACCATTCAAAACAAAACGGTTCGACCAAAACAAAACATTTAGTACCGACCAAAACAAAATGGTTCGACCAAGACAATATATTTAGTACCGACCAAAACAAAACGATTCGACCAAGACAATACATTTAGTAACGACCAGAACAAAACTGTTCGACCAAAGCAAAACATTTAGTGCCGACCAAAACAAAGGTTGACGAAGACAAAACATTTAGTACCGACCAAAACTAAATGGTTTGACCAAAACAAAACATTTAGAACTGGCCAAAATAAAACGGTTCGACTAAGACAATACATTTAGTACCAACCAAAACAAAACGATTCGAGTAAGACAAAATAATTAGTACCGACCAAAACAAAACATTTAGTAACGACCTATCATCTTTCTTTGGCTGAGTGGCATGTATTGGTTCACACGACCTATTTTAGCGAATGCCTGTCAAAAAGCTTTTGTACCGACCAAGACAATACATTTAGTACCGACCAAAACAAAACAGTTCGAGCAAGACAAAACATTTATTACCGAGGATAACAAAATATTTAGCACCGACCAAAAAAAAGGTTTGACCAAGACAAAATAATTAGTACCAACCAAAACAAAACGGCTCGACCAAAACAAAACATTTAGTACCGACCGAAACAAAATGGTTCGACCAAGACAAAATATTTAGTACCAACCAAAATAAAACGGCTCGACCAAAACAAAAACATTTAGTACCGACCAAAACAAAACGGTTCGACCAAGACAATACATTTAGTACTAACCAAAACAAAACAGTTTAACAAAGACAAAACATTTAGTACCAACCAAAACAAAACATTTAGTACCGACCAAAACGAAACGGTTCGACCAAAGCAAAACATTTAGTACCGACCAAAACACAACGGTTCGACCAAAGCAGAACATTTAGTACCGACCAAAACAAAACGTTAATTGCGACCGAGACAAAACATTTAGTACCGACCAAAACAAAACGGTTTGACCAAGACAAAACATTTTCTGCCGACCAAGACAAAACATTTAGTACTGACCAAAACAAAACGGTTCGACTAAGACAAAACATTTAGTACTGACCAAGACAAAACATTTAATACCGACCAAAACAAAACATTGTGACCAAGACAAAACATTTAGTACCGACCAAAACGAAACGGTTCGACTAAAGCAAAACTTTTAGTACCGACCAAAACACAACGGTTCGACCAAAGCAAAACATTTAGTACCGACCAAAACAAAACGTTAATTGCAACCAAGACAAAACATTTAGTATCAACCAAAACAAAACGGTTTGACCAAGAAAAAACATTTAGTATCGACCAAAACAAAACGGTTTGACCAAGACAAAACATGTAGTATCGACCAAAACAAAACGGTTCGACTAAGACAAAACATTTTCTGCCGACCAAGACAAAACATTTAGTACTGACCAAAACAAAACGGTTCGACTAAGACAAAACATTTAGTACCGACCAAGACAAAACATTTAATACCGACCAAAACAAAACGTTGCGACCAAGAGAAAACATTTAGTATCGATCAAAATAAAACGGTTCGACCAAGACAAAACATTTAGTACCGACCAAAACAAAACGGTTCGACTAAGACAAAACATTTAGTACCGACCAAGACAAAACATTTAATACCTACCAAAACAAAACATTGCGACCAAGACAAAACATTTAGTATCGATTAAAACGCTTCGGCCAAGACAAAACATTTAGTACCGACCAAAACAAAATGGTTCGACTAAGACAAAACATTTAGCACCGACAAAAAAAAAACATTTAGTTCCGACCAAAACAAAACGGTTTGACACCGGCTTAAAAGTTCCTCGTTTGTGAAAAAAAACATTTAGTACCTCCCAAGTAATTGTCCAGTGTAGGCTATCTATACTATTATTTGCGAAGTGATTTTTCGTAATGGAGCTCCCACATTAAAAGTTGGAGTGGTTAATATCAATTATACCCTTAATGAATAAATTATATAAATTAATTATATATAAAAACGAATTTTAATTTATTTTATTAGATAATTTATTTTAATCAATAACAATAAGAGTTATCCAAAATCAAAAATATATTTTATTTTAAAAATATATTCCTATATATATTGTATTGTTATCTGAAACTATCTTTTCATAAAAATATTTAAAAATTCAAAAACAGAAAACAAAAAAAAAACAGAAAACAATAATTAAATATTAATTAATTAAAATTTTTAATTTTATATAATTGAAAAAATATATTTGAATAATTTTAATAAAAGTAAAAATTTTGAAAATGATTTTTAATTAGTAATATATTTACTAACAAATAATTATAAAAAGCTTAAACAAAGTGATTTTTTGTAACGGGGCTCCCACGTTAAAAGTTAGCGCGTTAATATCGTTTATACTATTACTGAATAAATTATATAAATTAATTATATATAAAAACGAATTTAAATTTATTTTATTAGATAAGTTATTTTAAACAATAACAATAAGAGCTATCCAAATCCAAAAATATATTTTATTTTAAACAGATAATTCATATATATATTGTATTGTTATCTGAAAGCTATCTTTAATAAAATATTTAAAAATTCAAAAACAGAAAATAAATAATTAAATATTAATTAATTAAAATTCATAATTTTTTATAATTGAAAAAATAATATTTGAATAATTTTAAGATTAAAATTTTTCAAAATGAAAACACAAATAATAATATATGCTTATAATTTTAATTACTAATATATTTAATTAGTATATATAATTATAAAACACTTAAGCCCGCATGGCGGGCAAAACACCTAGTTTTCATTCTAAAACGAAATGGCTGACGAGACAGTGGCTTAAAAGTTCCTCGTTTGTGAATTGTTAAAAACGGCACACGTTTCTCATCTCCTAGACCGAAAGGTTACACAAGGCGAAATCCCATCGTCATATTAAAAGAAAAAAATGCGAATTCGAGAAACCGAAACAGAGAAGAGAAAGATGGTGGCGATATCAATGTACAGAGGCATCCTTCACAAAGTTCCCGACGTACCTCGCGGGTGGACATTTCCGGATCGTAACCTCTCCTACAAGCAGTTCAAATCTCTCCTTCATCGCCTTAAACGAGCTCTTTCTCATAATTTCTCCCTTAACTCTAACTCTAATCCTAACCCTAGCCTTAGAAGTTTTACCAGTTTGTTTTTGCACCAGGCAAAGGAAGAGGTGCGTAGGCAAGTAGAGAAAGAAGGGAAGGAAGTAGAGGAGAGATTACAAGTGTTGAATGCAAAGAAACTGATGAGAATCATAATAATGCTCAAACTGATGATGATCTACATAGTTCTGTAAAGTGTCACAAATATTTAAAAGGAAATTTCAATCCAGGCTTGTTTGTAATGTAATAATCAAGAACAAAAAAAATATAATTGTCGCAGCTAACGCAGAATATAATTCATATGTAAGTTTCTGAGTCATATTAATAATCACAGTCAAAAACCAAACAGCCTAGTTTCAAAAGAGTTATAAAGAGTATAACCTTGACGTTAACCATGGCATACAATTATGTTTTTTTTTCCTTTCTAATACTGTTATAAGCAACGAGTCAAGAAGGGATACTAAACCCACAAAACTACCATATGGAACTAACCAAAAAACAAGTTATAATCTTGGTTATCTATACTAAACCAGAAAACCCCAGGAGAGGGCAATCAACAGATGAAGAAGCTACTTTAGCTTTTGGTTTCGCAACATTCTTCTTGCAGTTGCTGCAGAGCTTACCATGTGTATATAACAGACAGTTCAGATCAAACTTGAGCTCATCCGGAATCCTGCGGTTGAGATGAACATAGGTTCTATTCCTGTCTGCAGTTTTCGGTACCCAACCTAACGCCTTGGAGATCTCAAATACCTGTTTTAAGTTGGTTTCATAAATCTCTTTTTTTCTACAAATACCAAACCTAAGAAGTACTGAAACTACTCACATGAGTGTCTACTGGGAAATCATTGTGCTGAAGGTTGAACATCAAAACACAAGAAACCTGTCAATTTCCAAAAAAACTATATTGTGACATTGATACCAAAGCATAAGAAGGTTCTTAAATGACTCATTACCGTTTTGGGTCCTACTCCTTTAAAATGAGAGAGCTCAGTTTTCACTTGTTCAACCGATAAACCGCGAAGATACTCCAAACACAATCTGCCTCTCTCTTTCTGCAAACGGCTCATAATGTTTTTGATACAGACAGTCTTTTTAGGAGCTAATCCTCCACATCTTATAGCATTCTCAATTAATTTTGGCTCAGCAACCAAAACCTATGCAACAAAAAAAAACTTTTTTTCAAACCAACAAACAATGCAATAAAAAGGAACACACTTTATGTAACTGTAATAAAAAAAAGTATCTAAATGATTCAATTCAATCTTTGAGACATTAAAAAATAAACTTCTGTGATTCAGAAAAAAAAGAACACAATTTATGTGACTGTAAGCACAAAAATAAAAAACACATTTGTAAGAGAAATCACTTTTTTCAAACCAACAAACAATGCAATAAAAAAAGGAAGACACTTTATGATGAGAGCTTACATCTTCCCAATTAGGAAACTGAGATTTAAGAGAAGCAAAAGCCCTTTGAGAGTTGGCCTCAGTGGTATTCTGCGAAAGAAGAATTTTAACAAGCCCATCAAGCACACTCTCCTCCTCCTTATCCGACTCCAATGGTGATCGGAGTCTTTGACGGCGGTAAGTGGCGAACTCGGGAGGGAATCCATGGAGAGAGAGCAGAGCATCCCTTACGTCTCTACATTCGTCGGAGGTAGGTCTAAGGAGTTCGGGGTAAGGATCTCCGCCGTCTACGGTGAGGCTTTTACTGGTCGGAGATTTCGAGTCGCCGTCGTCGTTGCGTTTCCTTTTGAGGGATTTATTATTACTCATGTTGTTGTTTGAGCGTGGTGCTGCAACATTCGGTTCGGTTTACTACTTAGTTTTATTTCGAATCGATTGTTTTCTTTTTGTGTAATGGAAATTAAATGGGAAATTGGGCTATATAACCACAAAAAAAAGCTTAATTCACTATCTGACTATTTTCCCTAACAGATTTATACGTTAATTTTACATGATAATTCAGTTTTACCCTTTCTCTCCACCGATTAAACCTGTAGGCACATAAATATTTTAATTTTATTTAGTAGGCATAAAATTGTAAAACGTGTCTTATCTTCCTCCATATTTTATTTACTTCTTTTGATACCTTCGTAGAAGTTGAAAGATTACTCTTAAAGAGTTGAGAAGTCCGTCGCCTCCGCCTGCTTCTCTTCCGTTTATGATATCTTTGTCATTGTGTTACCCTAACGGATCTATTCTTTGCACTTCCACTTGTAATTTGCTTCTTAAATTAGCTCATAGTCGACAGTGTTAACCCCCCAGTAGCACCTCCCAACAACCCAAGTCTATTCCACTTCAAACAATTTTTTTTTTGCTGATTTGGTATCTTGACTTTGAAATTTCATTAACGGTGTGCTTCGACGTTGAGCTTTTTTTTTTATGTGTGGTACTATACTATCTCATCTTTGAATAGTCCATTCTATTTTGTGTATTTGCTATCTTCCAACTATTTTCCTAGAATAGTGTATGTGTTTGCTCATCTTTTTAATGATTCCATACTATGTATATTACGGTACAATATATTTGTGCATATTATATAAATTCTATTTGGGTTTATAGATCACTGATTAGTGTTTAGATTTTGTAAGTCGGATATTTTCTGGGTGTTTAGTATTTACATAATACCAATTAATAGAAATGGAGTAAACTGCTCTTCTATACTATTTATAGAGGTTCCATACTATGTATAACACAATACAAAAAATATGCAGCATATGATATAAATTCTATTTGGGTTTATATATCACTAGTTAGGGTTTAGATTTTGTAAGTGGGAGATTTTCTAGTTTTTTAGTATTTACATAATAACAATTAATAGAAATAGAGTAAAATATCCTTCTATACTTTTTATAGAGGTTCCATACTATGTTAAGCACTCTATGAAAAATATGCAACATATGATATAGATTCTATTTGGGTTTATATATTAGTAATTAGGGTTTAGATTTAGTAAGTAGAAATTTGTTTTGGCTTTTAGTATTTAACGTAATAACAACTTATGAAAATGGAGTAAACTACCATTTCTGTACTATTTAAAAAGGTTCCATATATGTCTAGTACAATATGAAAAATTTGCATCATATCATATCAATTCTATTTGGGTTTATAGATTAGTGATTAAGGTATATATTTATTAATTAGGATTTATAATTTAGGCATTTGTGTGAAATTAGGTTATGGTCTAGTATCTAGAAATTGAAATTGTATGTGGAGTTATAATACTATACTATTTTGGTGATATAAAATAGAACAGTATGTGCTATATGTATTTGATCAATAAAGTTATACGTGGACGGTTTAACTTTCTTTCGTTTTATTGGTCACATTTACCTGGTACTTGTAAAGATAAAGGATAAAACCGGACACTTAGTGACATAAATGTTGGAAACTTCATTATGTCAAAATCAATGACATTTACTTAATTTGTTGTTGAAAAGACCGAACCGAACCGAGTCAAACCAAACCAACTAAATTGAAACCGATTATTATAAAATAATTTGGTTTAAGATTTTCCTAATTCGAACCAACCGATCCGAACCAAATCGAATTAAACCGAACTAAAAAACCAATGTATTTTTGTTATTATTTAAATTAAACATATTAACAATACACAATATATTAATACACTACAGTAAAGTTACTATCAACTTTATTAACAATGTCGGATTTCTTTAAGTTTTATTTACTTTAGTTAATTTTCATTTACTTGTGTTCTTATAATTTTTCTGTGATTTAAAAAAAAATGTTTCAGTTTTATATTAGATTTAGTCTATGTAGTTTATTTTTATTTTAGTTAACTTTGAATTGATTATGTTCTTATAAATTTTTGTGTTTCTTGTAAGTTTTTATTTCAAATTTATATTGAATTTATAATACATAGTTTATTTTTACACAGTCATTAACATGATGCTTTCATGCATGTGTCTTTCAATTTTAAAATATGATTTCTCTTAAAAACTAAATTAAGAGAATTCGATCAAACTGAACCGAAACACAGATCAAATCGAATACAAACCGAACGATCCTATTGCCAGCTAAGTGGCCCAACTCGCTGCACTTATTGATTTAGTTGCCTATTGCCTTACGGGAGATTTAGCTCAATATCCTTATTAGCAATTTAAATTAGTAAAGATGCATCGTTTAGTGTATTTGCTTTTGCAATAACCAAAATGTTATTTAAACATAAGTATATATATCAATTCACTGACACAAAAAGCCTACCAGACTGATACACATCTAAGCAGTAGGCTCCCTGATACAAACAACTAGCTTGTTTGGTTTAACAGGGTTCAAAAGCAGTAGACTGACACTCTAGCTGACAAAGCTATAAGAGGGTGGCATACACAGGTGTAGGGTTAAAATCATTTTGTGAGTTCAAAATGAGGATACATTGTTAATTATGGTTTCAAATTATGACATAGATGCCAGTTTTCTCTTAAAAAACGGGATGGTGCCATGTCAAGTCCGGGCATTAAACATTCCAAAATACACTAAAATAGCAACCAAAATTTTAAGACAATAAACGGAACCTTAGAACGTTTAATAATTATATTTCTTGTACTCTTGAGGCAGATCGGTTTTGCCTCTAAGTGTACCATTTTTTTATCCGCCTATATCAGGCGTTATCGGCCAATCCATTGGTTTCATACGTTGTTTCCCTCTGAAATCCTAAACAAGTTGTGTGCAGGTTAAAAAGGAACCAAAAAAAATATATTTTTTGGGCTTGACAAAAAAAAACAAAAATTGTTAGGCCACCGTCCACCAAAAGCTACAAAGAGAGGCCTTGTTCAAACTAGTTCTATGAATTGAATTAATTAAAATAATATTTTAGATAGTTATAGAAGGTATGATAAGGTCAAGGTTGTCAGGAAATAAAGGTTCGAATTATACACATTATTGCGAAGATACAATGCATATAAGGTCAAACCGTTTTGTTATTTAGGTGAAATAATTGTTAGGTAGGTTCTAAATTCTAGTTAATTAGTAACTAAGGATTTCAAACCGTCATACCAATTAGTAGCACTAGAATACGAGAATGCGCGTTAAGTTTGTAAGCTTCTAGGTTGTCACAATAATGGGAACCATATATTTATTTAAAAAGTATCAAAATATTGTACGTTGTCACAATAATGCTCGTTAAGCTTATAATACTTTTACAACAAAAGGTTGAATCCATGAGACAAGACATACTAATTATGAATCTGAATCAAAACAATTACCCAATGGATTAAATAACACACGTATTGACAGTGTTAAAATTAACCTCAAATCTTCAAAATTGAGGATTAGTAGAATGATTTAGAATATATTGATTTATGTTTTTCACATAAGTTCAAAACCAATCATCAACATCATCAACATATAAAAATAAGATTTTCTCTCTTTATTTATATTTATTTAATTTATAAGGATTTTAATGATTATTTAATTTATAAGGATTTTAACGATTTTCGTTATCTCAAACTTTCTTTCCACATGCCTTTTGTACCCCTACAAAAAAATATTTGGACTTGCACTTTATAATTAATTTTTTTCATGTTTAATTTTTTGAATATTGAATAGTTAACATACTAAATTTCTATTTTGTTTATAATACATATGGAAACCGCTGCTTGTTTTAGTTTTTGTTGTTAAAAATACTTTTATATTTGAATGTAATAAAAATTATCAGAAAATGCCTTCATGAGTAGATATGACTTTTTTTTTTGGTCAAGAGTAGATATCGAAGACAAGAACTCCTAAGTCGTTATCATGATTGTTTTATTTGTGTTTTGTTATTACTACTCGTTTTCAAAGTTATATCGTTTCAAAAATCACAAAATCAGATTTTAAAACATTTCTGAAGCTCCTAGAGAGGCTGGCACGGCACCGTTAAAGTCCATAACGCGGTTAAGCAAAAACAGAAAATTTAGACACAGTCAAAGAGACCAAACAACCAATTTAAACACATGGCAGACGGCAGACCTCAGTGCATCCGTTTGGTGCTTGTCCATGTAGATGCTCCTTCAAGGAAACTTCAGAAACCCAAACACGCCAAGTCAGATGACAAAAAAAGGAACATAAGTAAATAAAGAAGAAAAAAAAAACATACAATTATTTTCAAACCGCCATTGTCAAGCTAAGCCATGTTGTATTAATGTATCTGGTTTGCATGATTAGTGTCACAAGTCGCAAAGATAATTAAATATTTAATCTCAACCATCGAGTATATATAGAACCTCTCTTCCCTCATAATTCCACACACCATCAAACAAAGAAACAAGAGCTTAAAAGATTAAACATAGTTTCAAGTTTCAAACAGAATCAATCAAATCTAAAGATGAGTCCCAAGGCATTGTTAGTTGTGATCTTCCTCGGTTTCTTAGCCACTTCATGTTTCTCTCAAGCTCCAGCCCCGGCACCAACCACCACCGTTTCTCCACTTCCTCCGGTCGCTTCACCGCCGGTTCCAGTTAACGAGCCAACTCCAGCTCCAACCACCGCTCCAACTACTTCTCCGGTTGCTTCTCCTCCTCTAACCGATGCTCCAGCCTCTGGTCCTTCTGCCGTATTAACCCCGACTTTGGCTCCGGCTCCGGGACCAGACACCGGTGCTGAAGCGCCTGCAAGCGCCGCGTGGGCTAATCAAGCTTTCCTTGTGGGAACTTTTGTTGCCGGAGCACTATACGCTGTCGCTTTGGCTTAGAGAGCTTTTGAGTTCGGCTGATACGTTGATCCTCTGCTTTTCGATTACCGTTTTATTAATTATTTTTATTCGTTCGCATGTGTAATTTATTATTATTATTTGTATAATTCTTGTTGTGATGAGGATGAACATAGAGACGATATGAATATCCATTTTCTATAAATTAAAAACATTTTTTTCAAATTACTATCGAATTGTGTTTCTAATAAAAAGTTACAAGAATAATATTGTTACTAGGTGATTTTCCCGTGCTCATGCACAGATATCAATTTTCATGAATATTCATGAAAGTAAAATTTTATAATAATTGATTGATATTTAGTTTGAGTTTTGAATCAATTTATATGTATAATTTATATTAATAAATAGTATATTATTCTAATTATACATATAACTTTGGATATATTATTTTCGGTTTAATTATTTTTCGGATCGATAGTCGGTTTGGTTATCAATTCGGCATATTCGATAATATCTATTTTTCGAATTCAACTATAATTCTTTTTATTCTAAATATAATAAAACTTTGATTAATCTTTTATTTTTCTTTTGGTTGGTTATTTTCGTTAGATATGTAAACATATTCTTAGATATGTAAATATATTTAGTTAAATTATGTATAACTTAATATATGTTGTGCTTAAAATGAAATACATAATAAGCTGAAGTGTTTGATTCAAAATTACATATGAATATAATGACAATATTTTGAAGTCTCATGCATATATATAAATTCTAAAAGAATTAATTTGTAATTAATTAATATTTATTTTTCTTTTTAATATGCTTTGAGTCAGTCTCTAATTTATATGTATAGAATTAAATAAATTATTATTTTTATTATTATTATTATTATTACAAAATTATATTTTCTTATTGTAGTTAGATGTTTAATTTTGGATATAAATTATATTAGTCGAGTTATTCATTTTGTGAGTATATAGAGTTAATATATTTTTAAATTAAAATTGAAGTATAATTACTTTTTATTTTAGTTAAGTCAAATCAAATTAGTTTATTTATCGCTTAAATATACATGTATTTTCATAATATTTATTTACTCTTTGTTTTAGTTAAATCAAATCAAATTATTTTTATTTATCGTTTAAATATACATGTAGTTTCATAATATTATCAAATTATATGTTTATTTCTAAAAAATATTAGAAAATAATGTGTAACTGATAAATTTTTTGATGTTCATGAACAGATATATTTTTATTATTTTGAAAATATATTTTATGTTATTTAAAAATATATATTAATGGAGATATTACTATTTTGTGAACTTTCCTTTTTAATAAATTCATATTATATGCATATATTTTCGTTTTTAAATTTCTCTTAAAATTTTAGAAATGTTTCTTAAAATTGAAGTATAATTACTTTTTATTTTAGTTAAGTCAAATCAAATTATTTTTATTTATCGCTTAAATATACATGTAGTTTCCATAATATTTACCAAATTATATGTTGATTTCTAAAAAATATTAGAAAATAAAGTGTAACTGATAAATTTTTTTTTGTTCATGAACATATATATTTTTATTATTTTGAAAATATATTTTATGTTATTTAAAATTATATATTAATGGAGATATTACTATTTTGTGAACTTTCTTTTTTAATAAATTCATATTATATACATATATTTTCGTTTTTAAATTTGTCTTAAAATTTTAGAAATGTTACTTAAAACTGAAGTATAATTACTTTTTATTTTAGTTAAGTCAAATCAAATTAGTTTTATTTATCGCTTAAATATACATGTATTTTCAAAATATTTATTTACTCTTTATTTTAGTTAAGTCAAATCAAATTAGTTTTATTTATCGCTTAAATATACATGTATTTTCATAATATTTATCAAATTATAAGTTGATTTCTAAAAATATTAGAAAATAAAGTATAAATGACATACTTTTTGATGTTCATGAACATATATATTTTTATTATTTTGAAAATATATTTTATGTAATTTAAAAATATATATTAATGAGGGTGTTACTATTTTGTGAACTTTCCTTTTTAATAAAATCATATTATATACATATATTTTCGTTTTCTATTTTGTTTTAAAATTTTAGAAATATTTCTTTTTTTATTATATATGTTATTTGAAAAAAGTTAAAAAAACTAAATAAAAATAATAATCTTAAAATCTAACAATTCATTAAGGGTATCTATGTAATCAACCATCGCGAAAGTTAACGTGAGCGCGACACGTAGGAAACTGACTTCTCGAATAATATTATAGAGATTGTACAATTTTATAAATTAATACTTACAAAATTGGTAAATATATAAATTTAAAAAGATAATAAAATATTTTATTTTATTAGGTATTATAATATGTATTATATTAATATTACAAATTAATAACTATTGTATATAAATTTTATATAAAATTTAATGAAACATTAACATTTTATATGAATTTTTATCTAAATTGTTTTAACATAATTATGTTAATTTGTAAAATTATGTTAGAACACGTACATTATAAAATATGTACCCCGTATATCAAAACACCAAATAAAAAAGCTGATATTAGTTAAAATATAAGATATGAACATAAATATTTTCTTATGTTATATAAATTAAAAATTAAAAACATAAATATAGAATGAAAACTTAATCAACTTCATAATTTATATTCTAATAAAATAGTGTAGTTTTAACACTATTATGAAGTTTCTTACAAAATATTAAAATACCATGAAGATTTTTTCTTTAAAATATATAATATAATAATCGTTGATAATGTTTATACTCTTTTCTAGAAAAGTGATCCATGTGTATTCAATTAGATATAGAAAATGGGCATTCGCCTGATGTTTACTTATTCGTTCATTATCTTGTAGTGGGTTTGAAAAGAATAGGCATACCCTCTCAGTTTCTCACTAAATTGGGTCTTAAGTTATTTCAAAACCAGTTGTGGTATATTTATAAGAAATTTGGGTCATAGTTTTAAGGAAAACGAGACACATGTGATATCGATCTCTTTAGAAACATCACCAAAGTTTATTATAGACTACTATAATGTTTGTTGATAAAAAAAAAACTGATTTGTGTAGTTTAAGAAAATTACTTTAAAATCAAGTGCTATATATCTGGAATTTGTGTAGTTTGATGTCTTTTCCTCTAACTAACCTGCTTTTACCTGCAAACTTGTTAGATATATAGCCATGACAAAAAAGTCTCCCAACATCAATGCTATCATAAATTATGTATCGATTTTTCAAAGACAATATTGCTTAATTATGGCTTAAATCTTAATACTATGTTGTTAAGGGTCTGTTTTCATAAGATAATTAACCGGATAGTCAAGGAAGTTGGTCCTCCTTAGCCTGGGAGAGATTATCTTCCTCCTCCTTCCCATTAGGGAAGAGATCACCTTTGTCTTTTTTCCTTTCTAGGAAAAGACTAATTTCAGCGACTGCTTCCTTTGTGACATCGCCTCTTACTGCGGAAACTTTGACGTTGCGAAACGCCATAATCTCTGCTCTTCAGTGTGGGATTAACGCTCTTTTGATCTTCTCAGACTCTCAGATTATCATTAACCTTGTGATTTTAAGAGGAAGACATCTAGAGATCGCTGTTCTTCTCAACGACATCCATGTTCTATCTGCTCTATTTACTGCTGTTGAATTTAATATCCCTAAGCTAGTTAGTTATAAAGCTGACCTTATGGCCAAACAAGCTCTCTGCTTAATGTACCAAACCTAAGTTATGAATGAATGTTGCTTTACAAAAAAAAAAAAAAAGTCATGGAAGTTGGAATCATAATTATATATATATATATATATATATATATATATATAGGTTTTTAAGGATTTGTAATATATTAGACTAATATTTTCTTCAGTTCGTTTTTCTTCGAAGCTTCAAATTCTTCCTGTTATTTCTCTCGCGATTATACAATACGAATACGATGGTGTGGAGTAAAAGGTGAATATTCTTGTTATTTTAACAAAAACTTTGATGATTAATGAGTTAGAAGGCAAGGAACAAGAACAGCTAAGTTTGTCCACAGAATTATCGACCAAATGGTTCTGAAAATGGAATGTCACTATATCTCTTTGGAGTTATAGAGAAAATGAAGCAACTAATAAAACCAAAATACGAATGTGTATCCCAGAGTATCTCTAACGAATTAAGATTCTCACTCTCTATAAAAGTTTGAATCAACTTTTAAAATTAATCTCTTTTAGGTTGTCTATGATACAAACTAAATTTGGAACTGCTAAAATGTTATCATTGTTATGAGAGATGATCATCAAGACAACATAAAAAGAATTGATGTAGACCTAATGTGTCGGCAAGCTAGTTTTTGTGCATCTCACAAAATCCCGTTAATGATAAACTTCCAATTTTCAAAATTTATCAGTTACAATCATGAGTGAAGTTTGGATGCAAAAGATTAATATGTAGCATAATTCTATAATTTTGAGTTTTTTCATGAAGATCATCGATAGGTGGTAAACTAAGGTGTACTTTAATATGAGGTGATTTGATTCAATGAAGGTTTTAGCAAAGCTTTCAATCATAGCTGATCATAGTGTATATTTTAAATGGACAAATACTCAACTAGACTCTATATTAAAAATAAAAAGAATGCGGTTTGGAAAACTGCCAAAAAGACATGAGTGGAATAACCAGGCTAGACACCACCATAAACTAGTTTTCCCTTTTTGTTAGATTTTGGACCCAAATGCACTTTTCGGTTTTTTAATTTTCATATCGAAAGCTCATTGCTTTTCTTTTCTTTTTGTTAACTTATTATACATTTATAAACATAAAAAGAGAACTAAGAGGGCCAAATGAAAAATATAGGGTCATAGCTCTTGCTTTGTTTTGTTTTTTCTCTCTTCTTTTTGTTTAGAATCAACAAACTTCATGATTGACCTCTAGTAATTGAACCAAGAGTTCTTAGATCAATGATAATGTAGAAGTTATTTTTTCTTCCCACATAGATTGTTGCTATTGACCTTATCATTTGTTTCATTTTTCTTTGCAACACATCTTAATTTCATAAAGCTTCAAACTTTTTTGGATACAACCAAAAGATGAAATTATCAATCTTCTTTATAAAAACATTAACTACAATAACAAATAAAGAGACAATGCTTAAATGCGTCGATAAGGTTTTTATGACAAAGTGAGAGAGTTGGCCTTACCTTTGT